AGTAAGTCTGGCTCTTCTTTTTGACATTCTATTCTTGCGAGATTATAGTTCTTAAACCTGCAAACATCAATAGGTGAAATGACAAGTCAACAAAATGAATATCAATAAAATAAAAACAAATAAAAACAATACAAATATCAATGCCTACATTGACTAGTAGAATTTATTAAATAGTCATTTCTTGCCTTGATTGAAACTTATCTCATATCTTATCAGAGCATTTGGCCAGTAAATTGGTCAACCTATGTGTAACTGTGATTAATTATATGACCTTGTTAAATTAAATTGCTAATCTTAACCATCCAAAATACCAGCAAAGTATATTCAAGAATAAATACTGCTATTCAAACATTAAAACAATCCAAAACAATCATATTGCTCTTTTAAATTTAATAAAATATGTTGTGTGCTGAAATAAAATTGAACACATAGAAAAAATAACCTCAACAGCTAATTCTGTTAAGGAAAAAAGGTCGTTTGGAAAAAAAACTTGTGTTGCGGCCCTGCCTCATTAACCTTAATATAAACTCGCTGTGCCTTGTTAACCTGACAACAGTAATATTTGACGACAACTTCAACTCTGTCAACAGTGTAAGACAGAGAAAACGTGATATATTATCATTTATCTTCAACCCCTTCAGATTCTTTAGAGTAATTTGGGGTATTTAAAGTCTTCATTAACACGCTGTCAACTTACCTTGTTAAACACGCCACGCGACGAACATCAAAGACCGAAAATCTCCGGAGCGCAGAAAGTCCCGGATGTTCAGTTTACCTGGTGCTCTGATAAACGTATCAGAATCTTTATATTTCCTCTGTAAACAACGCGGTCCTTTCTGAAACTTTGAAAAATTATTCCATAGTGACGAATCCTGCATGTAATGTCATCACAAGCTTACTATTGAATTTATTCGTGTTGAAAATTGCTAGTCATGCACTCAGTCTTTGGCTGAGTGTATTGACCAATCAAACAAATTGTTACGGAATTTAAAACCAATTAAAAAGTCTGAGGTTTCAGAGTGGCTCCATAATTAATCTCATACATAATATAAAGTGGAACACCTCAATATGTGATCCTCCATATAATTACAAATAATTACAAGGAAAATTACATCTTGTTTTTCTCTTTATTTATTATTCCAATTCCAATTGTTTGTAGGGGTGAATGTGAGTGTTTATGGTTGTTTGTATCTTTGCGGCCCTGTGATTGACTGTCAACCTGCCCATGGACTCAGACCATCCCATTTGGTAGCCAAAACCAGTCACTGAAATCTCCTTTCTGTTTTGGATATGTATGTATGTGTAAATGTTAATATATAATTAGTAGGGAACCTCATTCCCTTTTTTTTTATTGTAATTCAATTTCCATTTTGTTTAAACATCTAATATATCTTTATTTGCATACAATACATAGTTTTATTTACACTTGTACACTTTTAATGATTTTCTTTGTGTGCACTACATTTATTACATCAGCTTTGCTGCTGTCCAATGGGAATTTCCCCATGAGGGACAAATAATGGCTATCCTTTCTCATTCTATTCTACATATATACACAGAATTCAGTATACTATACAGATTAATATACAGTACTTGATATCATTTATCAGTCATCCCTTGATTAATTCTCTTCTAATACAAGGAGTATTAAAGAAGAATCTTTTATTTGACTCTGAATTTAGGAATAGGTATTGATGTAATACTTAAACCTGCTTAAGAGGTTGAGGTGTGTGTTAGTGTTTGAACATTGTGACATATGAGTACAAGTGTGTGAAAAGTGTGTTAAGTTCCAAAACTGGCCACTAGTTGGGGTAATTGAAGATGAGCAAAAACGCTAAACACACTCACACACAAATTTTCGGAAATTTATGATATTTTGAGACAATGGAGATATTTGGTGTAGGGCATTTTTGGGGCTTCTACAACACTGTAGTATGCTCAGAAAAATGAGGCCGCAAAAAATGTCCTCATTTTTTCACGCGTCCTGATATTGAAGGTGTGTATTCACAAAATTGTCCTGATATGTCATGAAAACAAACACAAACACACACACACACACAGGTTTTTGTGGATTAGAGCGGTGGTTCTC